AAGCCAGGAGGCAATCCCCTGTGATAATCCCTTTACATATGAGTCATTTCATGCAGGGTTTCCACCCATACTAGAATTTATCTTATGAATTGTAAAAGTAACATATGCTCATTACAAAAAAAAAAAAAACAAACAAACCTCAAAAGATATACAAGTATATGAAGTAGAAAGTGAAGGTATCCCGTCCCCTCTCCACCTATTTGCTTCTTTCATGTGGCACAGAAGACTGCTGTTTTTGCTGGCTGCCCCTGGGCATTGATGTCTTTAATAACGTCCTTACTAGGAGATAGCAAAGGTGGTTCTCATCCTGCCCCAGTATACACAGTGAATATCCTATTTATATCCTTGCAGTCTTCTCTATCATTCTATGAGGCACATTTTGAAAGGCATAATCACTGGGTCAAAAGAATATATACATTTTAAATATTGATAATTTGACAACTTCAACCTAGTTTTGGCAAGAGCTGAAGAGGAAACAAAAATAATATCACTTAAATAAAGTATGACAAATGCATTTAAGAATAGAAAGAATCTGTACATATATGTAGTATATAATTTCATCTTTAAAAAGTGCCTAAGTGTTACTTAGGCTACACAGAAACTCTGAAGACTCTATATTTCTAGAAAATAAATCAATTTAAAAAATTTACAGAATAATTGTCTAGAAATTTTGAGGATGATAATACCATAAAGGATGTACTGTCATACCCAAAAAATGCTTAGACCATTTTAAGGTGCCTAGTTTAATTTTGTCAAGTTTTTTTCTTAAGTAACATGTATTTTTGTTTTAGGAACTGGAACAATACAAAAGAAGTTCTTCCAAGTCTTGGAAACAAATTGAGCTTGATTCTTGAACCTCATTCAACTATAGTGTATTTATTTCTTCTTTCCAAAAAAAAATAAGTTTATTAATTAGCTATAATGGTAATAAGTGAAGGAAGCCGTGTAATTTGTTAAAGGAAAAGTGGCTTTTCTTGTATTAGTGCAACACTCGATACTTTTAAGTCTTTTACAAGGGGAAAAAGTGTAATTACATGCAGTATTTTTTAAAATAAAAAGAATCTTCTCTAATACGTTTAGTATTCAGTTCAGCATTTGTAAGTTTCTGCTTATATCATTTCAGGACTATGAAAGCAAGAGCCTTTAGTAACAGTTACCAGTGGAGTTTAAGCATTTATATTAGATTCCTTCTTGAAGGAGCTCTTGGGTGGGTCACTTGCCCAGGTACCATTATTTGACTCTAAAACACAGACACAACAGGCACCTGAAGAACCTATTTAAAATGCACATTCCTGGGGCGCCTAGGTGGCTCAGTGGGTTAAAGCCGCTGCCTTCGGCTTAGGTCATGATCTCAGGGTCCTGGGATCGAGCCCTGCATTGGTCTCTCTGCTCGGCGGGGAGCCTGCTTCCCCCTCTCTGTCTGCCTCTCTGCCTACTTGTGATCTCTAATAAATAAAATCTTAAAAAAAAAAAAGAGGATTAAATGAATATTCACTTAAAAGCATTCACTTTTAAAATAGCTCTCTAGGGGTGCCTGGGTGGCTCAGTGGGTTAAGCCTCCGCCTTCAGCTCGGGTCCTGGTCTCAGGGTCCCGGGATTGAGCCCCACATGGGGCTCTATGCTCAGCAGGGACCCTGCTTCCCTCTCTCTCTGCCTGCCTCTCTGCCTACTTGTGATCTCTGTCAAATAAATAAAATCTTTTTTAAAAGTGCACATTCCTAGGTGCCTCCATCCATGGCAGGCAGTGCATCAGTCTCATAAAATGCACTTTCCTGGGGCATGTGGGTGGCTCACTCATTAAGGGTCTGCCTTCAGCTCAAGTCATGATCCCAGGGTCCTGGGCTTGAGCCCCACGTCAAGCTCCCTGCTCTGCAAGAAACCAGGTTTTCCCTCTCCCATTCCCCCCTGCTTGTGTTCCTTCCCTTGCTGCCTTCTCAAATAAATAAAATCTTTTTTAGAAATAAAATAAAATGGACATTCTTGAGTCCCCACACCCAGAGATCCTGAATCAGTGGGTCTAGAATGGGGTACAGTAATCTGCATTTTTAATTAGCACCTCTGATGATTATAACATACTTAATTTGAGCATAACATTTTTTTAAAGATTTTATTTATTTAGGGGTGCCTGGGTGGCTCAGTGGGTTAAAGCCTCTGCCTTTGGCTCAGGTCATGATCCCAGGGACCTGGGGTCAAGCCCCAAATCGGGCTCTGTGCTCAGCAGGGAGCCTTCTCCCCCTCTGCCCCACCTGGGTCTCTGCCTACTTGTGATCTCTGTCAAATAAGTAAATAAATAATCTTAAAAAAAAAATTTATTTGAGAGAGAATGTGAGGGTGGGAGCGGGGAGGAGTAGAAGGAGAAGCAGACTCGCCGCTGAGCAGGGCCTCGATGCAGGGCTCAATCCCAGGACCCTGAGATCAAGACCTGAGCCAAAGGCAGATGTTTAGTGACTGAGCCACCCAGGTGCCCAGGATAACTTTTTGAAGAACAGGTAAATTTAAGGATATAATCTATCAATAAGCAGGCCCAAACTTCATGAATTGGTAATAATGAAAGATCATTTCCAAGGGGAAATAGCTTTTAATTAAGAAGCCTTCTTGATCTTATGAGTTTGTGTACCTTCTGGCCAAATTCAATCTGGAATAAGCATAATTATTGTCATTGATCAAGAAAGTCATTTACTCTGTGTTCTTGCGTTTCCATTACAAAATATGTTCATTCTAATACACTATACACTCAGCTTCAAATAAGCACATTTAGTAAACCCAGAACACCAAAACCGTTGAGTGGTATCTGAGTGGAGAACAAACTACCTGATCACTGCAATGAAATAAGACTTCATAAACAACTTGGGGCACCTGGGTAGCTCAGTCAGTTAAGCATCTGCCTTCAGCTCAGGTCATGATCCTAGTGTCCTGGGATCCAGGCCCACATCAGGCCCTCTGCTCAGCAGGAAGCCTGCTTCTCCCTCTCCTCTGCCTGCTGCTCCCCCTGCTTGTGCTCTATCAAATTAATAAATTTTTTTTTTTTAATGTGGAACATTAAAAAAAAAAAAGACTTAAAGATGCCTGGGTGCTCAGTGGGTCAGGCCTCTGCCTTTGGCTCATGTCATGATCTCAGGGTCCTGGGATCGAAACCACATCGGGCTCCCTGCTTGGCAGGGACCCTGCTTCCCCACCCCCCCGCCTGCCTCTTTGCCTACCTGTGATCTCTCTCTCCCTCTGTCACCTAAATAAAATCTTAGAAAAAAAAAAAAAAAGACTTCATAAGCTACTGCAGTTCATGTGATTCCAGCACTCTTGACAACAGGAGTTTCATCATGTTTCCAAAGATCCTCAATCTTCGGTGCAGACAGGCACCCTGCCCAAGTGCTGTGGAGAAAGAGCTCCCTTTAAATTAATAGTGAACAATAATCTCAGAAACATCTACTGACTTGGGAAGAAACAGCCTATTCCACAAAGTAATAGAAATTTCTATTATATAATTTGATTGTCTTACACATCACTGTCCATTTTTACTTGAGACACAGACTGTCACATGTTTAAAGTCATTGTGTTTTTCTAAGATGGTATCAGTTAACATTTAATAGCTTGAAGTCACATGCTATGTCAATTTTCCAAATGTTTCTGAGCTAGAATGAAATTCATCTGCATATGAATAGTAGAAATGTTTCCACTTACAGTGCACACCCATATCTTTAGTAAGTTGAAATCAGCAATTTCAAAAGAGGTTCCTGTGGGACTCTCTTTGAACTACTTTAAGAGATTATCATCTGCAGAATTGTCTATAACTGATGTGACATATATAATCTGTAAGGCATTATGTAACTATTACACCATAATCATCAGTGTCAGAGACCTTTTATAAAAATTGACAATACTATTCTGGTAACTTGCCAATGCCTGCAGATCCTTAAATACAGTTTTAAGAAATAGAATTTTACAGTGGTTTTCTTAATGAAATGATCTTTTCTGCTATAATATGAGACATTTCAAATGCTATAATTTATCATTCTTTACAAGTTAGGTCACAGCAACTGAACAAGTTCATGTACTAAGATGTTCTCCCTCAGCGTTACCATGGTAACATTGGGACAGGGTCTTTTCAGACTTGTATGTGAATTACCTGAAGATCAATCAGAAAGATAATCAGTCATTTAGTATAGAGCCCATTTTTAATCATCTACATACATCATTTCATCCCTAAAAATATGTAATACAGGTATCTCTATTTATCAGCATTCTTTCTCTTTATGATTCAAGAACCCGAGTTTTGTGTGTGTAACTTGGTTCTTCTTAGTGTAAATACCGTGTCAGTTGAACAGCTTTTCTGTATGGACTTAAATAATGCCTCCTATCTAGCCTTAAAGATGTCACTTCTCAGTGCATACACTTTAGCTAGTAACATTCACTCTTGATTTTATAAGTGAAAAGTGGAAAAATAGCAAACTAATCTTTCAAGACATTACCTGTCTGTCTCGTATGCTGTGATCTCAGCTCAGCCCATTCCCACAGGTTTTCACTTTATCTCCCAAAAAATCACCAGGTGCTCTGTATCAGGGGTCGTCTTCATCCAGCATCTGTCCAACATCCTTTCAGTGTGACTGGGTAACTCAGACCCTCATGTGGACGTGCACACATAAATATGGGCTTTTCAGGGATAATGAAAGCATTCCCAACAACCGCCCAATTTTGCAGGATGCTTTGCTTCACTCAAACCCACAACTCTTTTTTGTTACTTATAGTCAGTAACCACTCAAATGTCTTCTTACCAAGTCTTTTATCAAATGTAAGCATAATTTTGTTTGTAAGCATAATTTTAAAAATTTATCTTTAAGTAGTTTCTACACCCAATATGGGGTTCGAACTCACAACCCTGAGATCAAGAGTCACATGCTCCACTGACAGAGCCAGTCAGGTGCCCTGTAAGCATAATTTTTTAACTGACTTATTTTGCTGTCTGAAACAGCAAAATTATTTTGTGTCTAAAACAAAACAGTCACACTAGTCTCCCATAACTTTATGAATTATTACTATTTACATTTTTGGACCAGCTCACTCACAATTTCCAAATAGCATGTATCCCTGCAAGTCAGAATATCATTCAAAGCCTGCATGATCTCTGAGTCACAGATGAAGTTACAAGACTTAAGATGTACTATCAAGAAACAAGTGGCTTTCTTTTTTCAGACATTCAAAGTAGTCCTGCACGTCTGGGACTTAAGGTCGTTTTCACAGCCATGTTCTTTACTATCTGCTAATGAGATGATCCCTTATTTTAAAAACAACTATTCCTAGGATGACAAGAACTGGGATAAAGGCATACAGAGTCAGAAAGTTTGTTGTGAATCTGGATGTTGCACCCGGGCAGATTCTCTCAATAAATGTAATTCCTTGAGTGAAGACACACATCGGATTAGTTGTCACAGAACCATTTGAGCTGCCTGCAGAGAAAAAATGGACAGTGTCAGATGTGATGCTTCCCAGGTACTTTCATCAACAAGTACTTACCAACTGCCCAATAAGTACACTTCATCATGGACGATATAGGACATTTAAGAGACCCTGGAATTCATTTTTAGATGAAGCAATAGTGAGTGTTCTGGGCCCTGGCTTCATTTGAAGATAGAAATGGATTTGTTTCCATTTGGGGTATAAACTCATTACCATAGTACTATAAATAAAGATCATGATCACTTATGATCATCTAGTACTGAATATCCTAAGGTTACTGCTGTTATCACCTAAAAATGTTTAAAACAATTACTAAATTATGCCAGTTCTTTAGTTGCCTTCAGGGAGTGGCCTGGGATTTTCATGGCCAGAAGGACCTTGTTATGCTCCCACTGCCTCTAATGGGATTGGGGAACAGACTTTTGCCAAAAATGGCTTTACTCAGCTATATACACTACATACATTTTTAGGGAACAAGAAGCCACTGCAACCTGCTTCAACCTGTTCTGTTCAGTCGGTATAAAAACTGATTCTAGGGGTGCCTGGGTGGTGGCTCAGTCAGTTAAGCATCTGACTCTTGGTTTCAGCTCAGGTCTTGATCTCAGAATCATGGGAATGAGCACCGTGTAGGGCTCTGTGCTCAGTGCAAACTCTGCTCTAGGTTCTCTCCTTCTGCCACTCACATGCATACAGACTCTCTCTCAAATAAATAAAATGTTAAAAAAACAAAACAAAACTGATTCCACCCAGAGTATACCTCAGTGTACATTAGGCCTGTCATTTTTTCTTAAAAGATTTTATTTAAGTAATTTCTACCCCCAACGTGGAGCTCAAACTCAACCCCAAGATCAAGAGTTACATGCTCTTCCAACTGAACCAGCCAGGAGCCCCAAGTCTACAGTTTTCTAAGAAAATCAGAGTGGCCTTAAGCTGATGGCCTTTGACAGGTGATAACTTGACTTTCACTCTAAAAATCAGAAGAACTGTTAGACTTTTACTTCAAAACAATGTTTTAAATCTATTATGAAATATAACTTGAATTTAAAAAATACATTTCCCCCAAGGAATCACTTCCTCAGAGTACTACGTAAAAAAAATAATATTCCAAAGTAGAGTACTTACCACAAGTGAAATTCTGTCCATAGAACTCATTGACTATAAGAATCTCAGAGCAGTATTTTTGGAATGTAAAATAACTGAAGATTTTAAAAGGAATGGACATTTCTTCTGTGTTTCTGAAGGAAAAAAGAGAGCAAACTGAAATTCAGTAGGCTCTGATAACAGTCCTATTAGATGAAAAGAAAGGCAACCCTCATTTTATGTTTCCCATTTTGAAGGTAGTTTTTATCTCTCATTATAAAAATTGTGCTCACTGTGAAAAACAATTCTGAGAAGTACAAAGATAAACCACTGCCCAGAAATAACTGTGGTTAATATTTTGGTGATATGTGTAACATGTATTATACTTATAAAATTTTACATGAGTGGAATCACACTCTTCATGCTCTTTTCTAACCTGCTTTTTTTCAACCAAACATATGCGTCAGGCAGCCTTCGAAGTCAGTAAGCATAGCACTCTATCACTTTTAATTATAGCTCAGTGGTCCATTATAGTAGAAATCTTAATTTAACACTCCCCCGATGATGGATTGGTATCTAATTTTTTTGATAAGCATCATTGATATAAACATAAAACACACACCTAATTCATCACTTTAGAGGGTATTTGTGATTAAACAGAGATTTGATGGATCTAGTGTGTGAAGTGAGAATTAACTGTGATACAAGGGAAAAGGATGGAGAGAGCAAGCAGATGTCCATTGTAAAAATGAACTCTGTCCCCTCTTCAGTCTTTTTGCTGAACTTATGGCCTCCTCTGTCCACTATGTAACTTCTATCAATCAACAAATATGTATTAAATTCTATTTGTGAGGCACTAGTTCTAAGTGTTTGAGGAAGTCAAAAGAAGTGTCCTACCCCTAGAGAACTCACAGTGTAATTGGAGACATAGAATATATATCCTTAAGACTATAAAAATACATAGTGGTAAACAATTTGTACCAAGTATAATAATCCAGCACATGTCCATGACATTGTTGTACTTAATATTTATGGTTTTTACCTATTCCCAGGTAACCCCCCAAACCCCACGACTTTCAGTTATTGGCAATATTCTAAGGCACAAAATTCAATCAGCCCAATTGAGAGGCTGCTAACTGGAAAGGACAGGTAGGAACCTGGGTAGGAAGGAAGGAAGGGGAAGGACATTCTAGGAAGGAAGGACGGTATGAGCACAGGCATGTCAAGGACTGCATATAGGAATGAATAGGCCAGAAGGGCTGGAACAGAGGATCTGAAGCTGAGTTTGGAATGCCAGCCAGGAACCTGCGGTTTTGTATCCTTGCAGTGGGTTGATATTGAAAGACCATAAAATCAGTGTTTTAAGAAAATCAATGTGGCACCAGCAAGTAGAGGGACCATAAGAAGGGCAGATAAAGAAAAGCAGGAAAGCAAAAGGGAGCAGTGACGGCAGTAGTTCAAGGATTAGATGACAAAGGACTGCAACAGGATGATGCCCGTGAAAGTCTGGCTGCCCAGCTGGCCAGAAAGTTACCCCCTTAAGCAGGAACCACACACCTTTATCTTGCAGTGCACCCCACAGGGTGGAATACTACAGGTAAAGGCTTCACATGCATTTGTGGCCAGACAGCAATGAAAAAACCCAACAGAAGCTGGGGACTATTCCAGTGCGAGGGCCATCCGGGGGAAGAGTGTAGTCATTCATTCACTCAATTCAGTAGATATTTTCTGCAAACCTATTTGGTTCAAAGCCTTGGGCCAGCCACTAAGAAGAACTATAATGATGAATGAGGCATAGCTGCTGGCCTCGAGTCTGCCATCCTTGGAAAGGAAGGCTGCAACAGAAGTGGCAGGCTTTCAGAGAGAGCCAATCTATCCAAGGGAAAGGGCAGGTTTCTTGCGGGCGGCAAAGGGACACAAACAGGTTCGTGAAAGATGCAGGACGACAATCGGGCTAAATCACGGAAATCCTTGGAGTATTTCAGAGAGGAAGGAACTGAAGATCTAAATTTATTGACATGGGACTGTCCACATTATATCATTAAATGCATATTTAACTCCTTCCACAATAGTACAATCTCATTTTCATTAAAGATTATATAAGAGTCTAGCAAGATACACAAAATTTAAGTTTGTGAGACTTCAATAACTTTTTCTTCCTTATATACTACCGTATTGTGTACAGTTTTCCCCCAAAGAACTTGCATTATTTTGTATGTAGAACGAACAAAGCTATTTCTGCTTGTGTTTAGAGGAGGAGGCAGCCAAAAATGCAAATGTTGCAGGCATGCAGTCAGGAAAGGCAATGACTTGAGGGAAGAATGTGAACTTTATGATGAGGAGGTCAATGGGGCTGGCCCCTGAAGAGCAGAGCTTCAATTCAGTGATGGGAGTAGAATCCAGGTGAAGCCCAGATGTTGAGGTTTTGCAAAAAACCCAGGAGACTTTGGTAATGCTGGCCACTGCCTGTCTTTTCAGAACAACAAATTCCCTTTTTCTACAAACCAAATACACAAAATAGTGCCAGACTGGAACAAGTAATGATTGCAATATTCAAGAGGTGTGGGGTGCCTGGGTGGCTCAGTGGGTTAAGCCTCTGCCTTTGGCTCAGGTCATGATCTCAGGGTCCTGGGATTGAGCCCTGCATCGGGCTCTCTGCTTGGCAGGGAGCCTGCTTCCCTCTCTCTGCCTGCCTCTCTGCCTACTTGTGATATCTCTCTCTCTCTCTCTCTGTCAAATAAATAAATAAAATATTTAGTAGGAAAAAAAAAAAAGGAATATTCAAGAGGTGATCCTGCCCAACGTTGGATCTGTACCTTGCTGGCTTGATTTGATTTGTGCATTTTTTATAGAGGCTAACAATCATGTAAGCAACACAAATACAGTGCAATAATGGCGTCATAAACATGGTCCTCCTGGACTAATCAAAACCAGCTCACTTTGCTTTGTGAAATTTCACCTTTCTATAACTCACTACAGCTTACGAAGTGCTTCTGATTATCTCATTTGCTTCTCATGTTTCCCTTGTGGCAGAAGGGACCAGATCACGAGCGCCATTTTATAAATGAGGAAACTAATTTAGAGAGAAAAGGGACTTGCCCGCGGTCATGTGGCAGATACAAGGCAGAGGAAGTCTCTGACTCCTGGGTCAGTCCTCTCTCCAGGGAGCCACATGCAGCCTGGGAGTCTTCACAGTGGCTTGACTAGAGCAAAGTCAAGTCCAACCTGAGTTTTCTTACCCAAACATGGATTGTTCTGAAAGGGAAATAATTAAATATATAAATATAATTTTATCTGTAGATGCTCTGGAGCTTTTTTAAATTAAAGAACCAGCCACCTTCACATTTCCTCATGGAACCACCACTCACATCACCCACTTGGCACCACTGTCACCCTTCTAAAATTTTCCACCGTTTCTGCTGCCTTTTTTTTTTTTTAAAGATTTTATTTATTTATTTGACAGAGCAAGAGAGCACAAGCAGGCAGAACAGTAGAGGGAGAGGGAGAAGCAGGCTCCCCACTGAGCCCAATGTGGGGCTAGATCCCAGGACCCTGGGATCATGACCTGAGCTGAAGGCAGAGGCTTAACCCACTGCTTTTTTAAAATATGTGTGTGTGTGTGTGTGTGTGTGTGTATATATTTTTTTCTTGCTTATAAAGTGCTTTTTTATAGAAATTCACAAAACAAAGGAAAATATGAAGAAAAAATTAATTACCCAGAGATAATTACTATTAACATTTGTTAACATTTGTGTCCTTCTAGTCCTGATACTTTCTTGATCTTTTATCATGCAAGCTCTTATCTGACTGTTCTTACTTCCTAAGAGAAACAGGGGAATTGAGAACCAGAACAGAGACAGTGCCAGGGCGGAAATGAATTAAATGCATGCTATTTTGCTTATAGTAAGAGGCTGTGAGTTCTTCCAGAGAATGGATTGGTTTTCTTCCTCCTGTTACGACATGTGAATCATATGAATAACATGCCTAAATTGTCATTTCCTGATTCTCAGTGTGAAGACATTTTACTGAACAAATGGTAAATAGATCAAGGTCTAAATAATTATAAGCAAGCATTATCAACTCCCCAGACCATAACGTGATACCTTTAGCCCGTGTCACATAGCTCTCCTCTTAATTTGTTATCAAGTGATCATTAACCACAAATTAATGAAAATCCTCTGAATTGTCTTATCTTACCTTACTAATCCAGAGCCCACAAGTATCCCAGCAATGCAGAGCAGAGCCACTATGCTGTTGACCACATTTGGGTTTTGGACCATACCAAGTAGCACAAGAGTTAGAAATTCACCAATTAAGTGGGGGGCCAAGAGAGCAGCAGAGAAATATCCAAATCTGGCAACCTCGGGATATAAGCCCAGAGTCCTGGAAAAACATAAGGTCTTTAGTTTCCTCTCCAAGGATTATTTAAGAAAAACACCACACGTGCCTTTCATGAATAAGTCCATGGTGGTTAGTGGGTGGGAAGAGTTTGTGGGGTAAGCCACACTCCCCTCTGAGAGGCCTTTTCGGAAAAGAGCCAAGCTTGGAGACCATTTAGTAGCACCAGTTGTTTCTGTTGGCTCCAGCTTCATGTACCACCTTTTCCCTTTCACAGCTTCTTCAGTTCTCAGAGGAAAATATTAACACGTGTTGGTTAGTTGGTTAAAAGTTGCCTTCAGCTTAGGTCACGGTCCTGGCGTCCTGGGATCGAGTCCCGCATCAGACTCCCTGCTTGTGGGGAGCCTGCTTCTCCCTCTCCCTCTGCCATTCCCCCTCACCCCGACCCGGCTTGTGCTCTCTGGCTCTATCAAATAAATAAATAAAATCTTAAAAAATATGTATTAACGCTTGAACAGTGATCACAACTGGAGCAATCAGTAGAGTGGTTGAACTCCCCAGGCTTCTCGAAAAATAACCACGTTCTGCCTATGCTGGCCCTGCTCCTGTCCTAGCTAGCCTACTCTCCCAGTGTTAAGGGCTCACTCAGCCTACTTCTCTGCTCGCCCATCCCGGTTTTGTGGGGTTGCTGCCAGTGTGAAGACCCTTCACTGCCGCCATCCTCTGGTGAATTAGCCCTCCCAGGTCTGTTCCATTCCATTCTCGTCTTTTATTCTACCAGCCCCTTCCACTGATGTGATCGTCATTTTCTTATAAACAGACTTTCCTACGTCCATGCCCCTTAACTCTTACTCCTTTCACTAAATACACTTCCTGGATAATATGTCCTCAACAACCATTAGTTATGGCTGCTCTTTCTTCCATCTGTAGAGTAAGGAAAAGGAGTTGGCATGTCTCATGTGCATGCCTCCTGACCACTCTCCAAGGCCATCTATCTTTTCCTCTCATACAAATCATGAAATTTGCTTGTACTATTCTCTTTCTCAGTGCAATCCTTTGTGGCTTTTATGACATTCTCTCACCTTTGATGATCTTATAGTATCTGGACCAGGGTCAGTCTTTGCATTCCTGTCCACTGTCATTATCCCAAGGTCTTTTTAACCTTCCTAACTAGCCATCAACATCAGCACTTCCTAATTAGGTATCCTGATCTGTTCCAGTGGCTCAATCCACCTAAGCTTCATCACTCACCAAATCTTGGACTTAAATTTTACTCAGAATTATTCCATTTTCCCAAGATTTCAGATTCTGAAAGTGCTCTCTCTGATCATGGTGTCCCTCCTGCCTCCTATTTCCCCAAATCCCAAGCTGCCTCAGGTCCTTACTGCCCCCACCTCCTGCTATTCTTTGCCTTAGCAGTGCCCACACCTTGGAAGCCCTGTTCTTTAACTTAAATTCTCTCCCTGAAGGTGTGCTGAACAAGGCATATTGCTGTACTAATCAGATCCACTCTCCCTCACCTGACCCCCAGACCCCTAATTTTTTCTCATTGTAGCACCATCTGTTCACTCCTCTTTGTGGAGTCTTCTGTTGCACATAATATGGGGCCTAGCACTTAGTAGGCATTCAACAATTATTTCTGTCATTTAATTGAAGTATTTGTTACAGTAACAGCTGTGCTGCTACTGGAAATGATTGACTTTTTATGCCTGATTTTTTATCAAAAATAGTCATGACCTGTATGCTTACACTGAACCTAGTTTAAAACTGCCGTTTCCTCAAATATTTTTTTTAAGATTTTATTTATTTATTTCACAGATCACATGTAGGCAGAGAGGCAGGCAGAGAGAGAGAGAGGGAAGCAGGCTCCCCGCTGAGCAGAGAGCCTGATGTGGGCTCGATCCCAGGACCCTGAGATCATGACCTGAGCCGAAGGCAGAAGCTTTAACCACTGAGCCACCCCGGGTCCCCTGTTTTCTCAAATCTTAAAGTACTTTCTTTCTCATGCACAGTTTTTCATGCTTCACAAATTCCAAAGTGCGTAGGAACCACCTGGGGCATCCTTTTAAACACAGAACCCAATTCAGTAGCTGGACCAGAGATTCTGCACGTTAGACAAGCTCCAAAGTACGGCTGATGCTGGTCCATGGGCCACACTGAGTGGCAAGAGTCTAAATTAGCAAGGTCTTCAATGTTCGGCAACCTTGATTTACTCAAAAATAACTGGATTTTTAAAAATCTGCTGGATTTTTAAATCCATGGATCATTCAGCCTGGACTAGACAGGTCTGTGCTTTACATCATAGATTAGAAATTCAACATGCTCCCAAGTGTCAAAGAACAAGGAGGCTTCATCAGGGCCAGCAGGACGGCCCTGTGGTCCTTGCCATCATCCTCAGTGAGGAGGCCAGCCTCCTGCTAACTTAGAGCAAGATAGCACTCGCCAGAATGATGCCAATTTCTAATCACCTGCACCAAGACCCTCCCACTCTTCATCTGGAAGCTCAAACTTATTAGGTGCTGGTTTGTCTTTAAGTCATGTATCACTTAGTTCATACTAATTTTTCATCTCACATATCATGGGTCTATACACTGGCTATGTTAGGAGCACCTGCTTATGAATCCCATGGCTCTAAGAAAGACAATATCTCAAGAACTGCCTGACGTTCTCTTGGGACAACAAGCTAGGTACCATTACTCTACTAGAGGCACAGAATACCAGGTACTACCCCCATCTTAAGGGAAAGCCATGGGAATTAGGGAAGATACTTCTCCCTAGGATGACAAATCCTGCAAATAACTACCCATTTTTGGACTTATATTTTTGAAAAGCTCTAAGAAACAAATAGCAGCATTGTCTATAAGCCATCACTCACAACCTAAGAGCATCAGGGATACTTCATGGTGTCCCAGTGCCTCTTCCCATAGCCCCTCTCCTGTCGCTCAAGCCCACTCACACCAGCCCAACTGTGATGTCGCAGGTGGGTTGGTGGAACCTCAGGCAGAGTTGCCGCTCCAACTGACAGGAGCCATGCTTCATCAAGATTCAGCAGCTAGTTGTTGCCCCTACACCTGGATCCCAAAGACTTCAGGGCAGTTTTCTCTGCCCAGGCCCTGCAGAGGATGTGGGACATGCCAGTCCCTGGCACCATGTAGTCCTGTGGTTCTGCTCTCAGGTCCCATGTGACCCCAGCCGGGTTCTTTTATTTGTCTCAAAAAGGACACTGTACTGGTCATTGATGGCCAAAGACAGACCTCCAGGGCCAAGAAGAGGGAGTTCTTCACCCCAGAGCTCCCCCTTCATCAGTCCCAGTGGCCATGTGGAACTTGCCAGGAGGACTGAACACCTCTTAACACCCCCTTACCAGTAGCATACACTGCTGAATATCATGGTGGCAAGGACACTGAAGGGGAGTGCATGTAGCACATAGGCCAGCAGCATCTGCCACTTCTGGTACAAGCCGTCTTGGCTCTCCTGGTCGCTGACAGCTCGCAGCACAGGAACTGGAAACAGAAGGCAGGTTTCAGAATAGCCAGTCACGACACAGCTAAGGAAAGGAGGGCTAGCCCAAACTGAACTTGAGTTGTCAGGGCTGGGTGGTGGGGACCACCTGGGACTTCCTAGTCATGGAAAGTGGGGACTGCTGTCGATAGAACTTTAAGTACTTCCCACCACAGAACTCTACTCTACCTGAATTACAGTATGGTTGCATACGCTGTCAAAGTTTGTTTCTTTCTCTCTAAAGTCAATGGAGGGTTGTCACAAATTCAAGAATATATGTGCAAAAGGGTCATGAATGACGTGAGGTAGTTTGTCCTCCTTTTGTGCAGGGTCTTGGCACAGAACATCAGTCAATTAGGCACTGCTGCTGGATTCTCACTGAGTTTGAAAATTAAGTGCTAGCTGTGCTAAAATTGGCTCCAAAAAGAATAGAATAATGCCAAGTTGACAGGTATCTGGGCCTCCAGGGCCTGTACATCCTAATGGCAAAGACAAGAATACCAGGAATAATCTTTTAAAAAAACCCTTCCCAAACCCCACCCCATCAGCAGCTTCTAACTTCTTGTTTCTCTGGATCCATAGACCCTCAGCAAGATCTACTTGGTGAACAAATTCACACTAAGATGTTAGTAACTCCGTACTTAATCCTTCCCCAGGGAGAGAATCTAGAGAGAGCCAAGTTTAGCTCAGTGAAATACCCTTATAATAGTGGAGTCTTGCAAGATGCTAGCTAGAGAGGAGAGATCATCAGAAAGAGGCGAAGTGCCCTCCCCAACCCCAGGGGTGCACCTCCTGGGCATGGGCACTCACACAGATTGACAGCATTTAGCATGCCTGTGTATGGGGTGGCACCCACAAACTGGTACAGGAGTCCCACGCGGTCCTGGACAGCACCCTTCAGCACATCGCTCGGCACCCGCAGAAGGTAGAAGATGAGGAACAAACCCATGATCAGATTCTGAACAAGACGCATCATCACCGCCAGTTTATTTCTCATTAAGTTCCTTGTCACTCTCCTGAAAGCCAAACAACCTCACTTTAATTCTCTCTTATTGGTGAATGTCTAACCACCTAAAACGGGGTGAAGTTCTTACCTCAAGAGAACATCCAGTTTAGAGAGAGCTCCAGGAGAATCTTTGGTTTTGAAAGGAACCACTGGTAATGTTTTCAGGTGTTTTGTTCTTTCAATATTTTCCAAGGTTTTGCGATAAATTGCTGATTCTTTGTAGGCAGATTCAATCATTTGAACTCTCTTGTAGGTTTCTATTTCCCGTTCTTTGCTTTGGGTATCCACTGATGTCAGGTCCACTAATTTTTTTTTCCCAAAAGAAATGACCCATGTGTTTTTAAATGCATATATATGCACAATGGCTGATAATGTATGTTTTATCATTGATTCAGGAGTACTAGCTAGTACCTCATCCCATCAGAATAATACCTGGTGATCATGCCCACCTGTAAAATCAGAGTATTTTAAACCTATCAGCTAGGCGTTGAGGATTCAACTGGGGCTGTCTGGGAGAATTTAGAAGCTGAGCTGATTCTTTTCTGACAAAGCGGACATGCAGCGATTTAAGAGAGGTCCCCCACCTCATTCTGATAGGTCATCTAAGGCAAGTTATCTGATCCAGCCAAATTAACTCCTTAAAGAGTGAAATTACCAAAACAAAAGCAAGAATAAAATCCACTAGTGCTGTTGACATCTAGGCAGAAATCTGAGATGACAAAATTGAATGATCATTCATCATGGGAAATGTGGGGAAAAAAACTTACTATAAAAGTCAAAAGGGTTTGAATGTTCGGGACAAGGGTAACTGCAACCACTGAAGAAATCAAGCATTTCTGCTGGTGTCCCACAGAAAACCAGCTCTCCGTAGCTCAGAATGGCGATTTTATCAAAGAGCTGGTGGGAAAATCGATGGCATTAGTGTATATCAGGTCACCATATCCTTCTGGAGAATACATTTCCAAGCAGTCAGTCCCTATTGATCTCAGCCATGCATCAGGATTCTTACTGTGCCCACTGGAGAGACACAAAGCGTGTTCCTATTTTTTTTAATCCGCGTTGCCAGTGTGTGTCGTACTGCACCTGGCCTGGGCCCAGATGAACTCCTGGACCTGGCCAGTGGTCCAAGGTTTGAGGGCCAGCCATGCTCCTGAGTGAGTGACCTTGGACCAGATGTTTGTTTGACCTCAGACCCTTGATTCAATTTTGCATCATTTCTAAGTCTCCCTCTTTTCTGTAAAGTGGCAGTACTGATAACCACATCATAGGATGGTTGTGTGGACCAAGTGAACTAGTGCAGAGAAAGTATTTGGTACATGGTAGGTGCCCTTCCCATATCAGGAGCTATTGGCCCCAAGGGCCCTGGCTGACGAGTACTAATCTCTACCTCATGATCCCCAGCTCAACACGTACTTCTACCCACCCTTGATGAGTTAAGCAGGAACAAGAGTCACCCTCACCTGGAAGAGCTCAGAGCGTGGCTGATGGATGGTGACAATCACAATGCGGTCCCTGTGAGCCAGCTCTGCCAGGAGGACAACGATTTGATTTGCTGTCATGCAGTCCAGGCCTGTGGTAGGCTCATCAAACAGCATGAACTCTGCAGGCAAGGAAGGGTCAGGTTTCTGAGTCACTGACAAGACTGGGCTCTGGACTCTAAGCTCAGAATTTTGAATAGTTCCTTACTGAGGCATCTTACCCCATCCCATCTTAACCTACCCACACAGTGCACCGTGAGAAGTACCTACATGTAAATGGCTTTCAGCCCGAGTCCAGATGAAGGAACTTTACTTCAGAGGACCCACATCTCAATTCCAGAGCACATCTTGGCCTTAATCATTAAAGGGTTCAGGGTAGCAAAAAGATCAGGCCTCTCAAATGTACTATGGGTTGTTTGGACTCTGTCCAGAGGACCATGACAAAGAACAAGGGCTGATGAGTGGGCACCAAGTTGTTTTCAAAAGGCTAGCTAAGAGAAGGCTGGTTAAAAATACATAACCTCAGGGTACCTGGGTGACTCAGTCATTAAGCCTCTGCCTTCAGCTTGGGTCATGGTCCCAGGGTCCTGGGATCAAGTCCCACATCGGGCTGCCTGCTTGGCAGGAAGCCTGCTTCTCCCTCTCCCACTCCCCCTGCTTGTGTTCCCTCTCTCGCTGCGTCTCACTCTAATAACTGAAGAAAATCTTAAAAAAAAAAAAAAAAAAAAAAGACATAACCTCACTTCATGTGAAGCACTTTCGAACATTGACAGGGTCTTTGCACAGCAAAAAACTACCTGATAAAACAAAGTCTGACCTGGGATAGGCATTAAATTCTTTAGAAGGTTTAACTGTGGCTTTCTACCCAGAAAGTGAGAAGGACTCTTAAGAACTTCTCTCTTGGGGTGCCTGGGTGGCTCAGTGGGTTAAAGCCTCTGCCTTCGGCTCAGGTCATGATCTCAGGGTCCTGGGATCGAGCCCTGCATCGGGCTCTCTGCTCAGCAGGGAGTCTGCTTCCCTCTTTCTCTCTCTGGCTGCCTCTCTGCCTACTTGTGATCTCTGTCTAATAAATAAATAAAATCTTTAAAGAAAAAAAAAAAAACGTCGCTCTTCTTTGCCTTCTAGTGACCAACCACCATCTGAAGAGCAGGCAGTCTTAGTGGGCCCCTGTGGAATATCCAGGTGCAGCATGTCCTCTTCCAGGTGCTTATAAGAGCTGAGAGTTCCCCAGTAATGAGGAGAATGACCAAACCCAGCAGGAAAGGCAGGTGACTGGCTACCCCATCTTGATAGCTCCTCCCTCCAAAATACACACTTTTTTGTGTATCATTCAAAGTCCTGCTTTAATTCCTGCCATTTCATATGTTCTTTTAGGCACACCAAAACTCATTGACTTTCTATAGCCACCCCCCCACCCAGTGCTGCTACTCTAATAACAATGGACGGGCCAGAGTCCTGTGCTCATGGAAGACCCTAACTGAACATTAAAACACAGATGCAGTGCTTCTAAGTCCAAGAGCTGTTTTGTACTTGGATAGAATAACATCAAGAACTATGTAGTATTTCCATTCTGTGGGTTGCCTCTTTGTTTTGTTGACTGTTTCCTTTGCTGTGCAGAAGTTTTTGATCTTGATGAAGTCCCAAAAGTTCATTTTTGCTTTTGTTTCCTTTGCCTTTGGAGACATGTCTTGAAAGAGGCTGCTGTGGCTGATGTCAAAGAGGTTACTGCCCATGTTCTCTTCTAGGATTTTGATAGATTCCTGCCTCACATTGAGGTCTTTTATCCATTTCAAGTTTATCTTTGTGTATGGTGTAAGAGAATGGTCAAGTTTCATTCTTCAACACATAGCTGTCCAATTTTCCCAGCACCATTTATTGAAGAGACTGTCTTTTTTCCACTGTGTATTTTTTCCTGCTTTGTCGAAGGTTATTTGGCCGCAGAGTTGAGGGTCCGTATCTGGGCTCTCTATTCTGTTCCACCCATCTATGTGTCTGTTTTTGTGCCAGTACCATGCTGTCTTGGTGATCACAGCTTTGTAGTAAAGAAGATATTCGCAAATGACACTACAGACAAAGGGCTGATATCCAAGATCTATAAAGAACTCCTCAAACTCAACACACACAAAACAGATAATCATGTCAAAAAATGGGCAGAAGAGGGGGGCCTGGGTGGCTCAGTGGGTTGGGCCTCTGCCTTCAGCTCGGGTCATGATCCCACGGTCCTGGGATCGAGCCCCGCATTGGGCTCTCTGCTGGGCAGGGAGCCTGCTTCCCCCTCTCTCTGCCTGGTTCTTTGCCTACTTGTGATCTCTGTCAAATAAGTAAATAAAATCTTTTAAAAAATGGGCAGAAGATATGAACAGACACTTCTCCAATGAAAACAGACAAATGGCTAACAGACACATGAAAAAATGCTCATCATCATTAGCCATCAGGGACATTCAAATCAAAGTCAAATCATTAGCCATCAGGGAGATTCAAATTGAGATACCACCTTACACCAGTTAGAATGGCCAAAATTAACAAGACAGTAAATAACAAGTGTTGGAGACGATGTGGAGAAAGGGGAACCCTCTTACACTGTTGGTGGGAATGCAAGTTGGTGCAGCCACTTTGGAAAACAGTGTGGAGATCCCCTAAGAAACTAAAAATAGAGCTACCCTATGACCCTGCAATTGCACTGCTGGGTATTTACCCCAAAGACACAGATGTAGTGAAAAGAAGGGCCACCCGTACCCCAATGTTCATAGCAGCAATGGCCACAGTTGCCAAACTGTGGAAAGAACCAAGATGCCCTTCAACAGATGAATGGATAAAGAAGATATGGTCCATATATACTATGGAGTATTATGCCTCCATCAGAAAGGATGAATACCCAGCTTTTTAATGTAGCATGGACGGGACTAGAAAAGGTTATGCTGAGTGAAATAAGTCAAGCAGAGAGAGTCAATTATCATATGGTTTCACTTACTTGTAGAGCATAAGGAATAACATGGAAGACATCGGGAGATGGAGAGGAGAAGTGAGTTGAGGGAAGTCGGAGGGGGAGACAAACCATGAGACACTGTGAACTCCGAGAAACAAACTGAAGGTTTTGGAAAGGGGGGTGGAGAGGTGAGCCTGGTGGTGAGTATTACGGAGGGCACACATTGCATGGAGCACTGGGTGTGGTGCATAAACAATGAATTTTGGAAGACTGAAAAAAAAAGAACTATGGGAGGAGGAGTCAAGATGGCGGAGAAGTAGCAGGCTGAGACTACTTCAGGTAGCGAGAGATCAGCTAGATAGCTTATCTAAAGATCGCAAACACCTACAAATCCAACGGGAGATCGAAGAGAAGAAGAACAGCAATTCTAGAAACAGAAAATCAACCACTTTCTGAAAGGTAGGACTGGCGGAGAAGTGAATCCAAAGCGACGGGAAGATAGACCGTGGGGGGGAGGGGCGGGCTCCCAGCAAGCAGCAGAGCAACGGAGCACAAAATCAGGATTTTTAAAAGTCTGTTCCACTGAGGGACATCGCTGCAGAGGCTTAACCGGGGTGAAGCCCACGCAGGGTCAGCGTGGCCTCAGGTCCCACAGGGTCACAGAAGGATCCGGGGTGGCTGAGTGTCGCAGAGCTTACAGGTATTAGAACGGGGAAGCCGGCTACAGAGACAGAGCCGAGGAGTGAGATCACAGCTCAGGGTTACCTTGAACCGGTCGCAGGCTCGGACAGCTCGGAGCGCAGCCAGAGGCCAGGGTGACGGGAGTAATTGGGCGCTGTTCTCTGAGGGTGCACTGAGGAGTGGGGCCCCAGGCTCTCAGCTCCTCCGAGCTGGAGACTCGGAGGCCGCCATCTTCATTCCCGTCCTCCGGAACTCTACGGAAAGCGCTCAGGGAACAAAAGCTCCCGAAAGCAAACCCGAGCGGATTACTCAGCCCGGCCCCTGGTAAGGGCGGTGCAACTCCGCCTGGGGCAAAGACACTTGAGAATCACTACAACAGGCCCCTCCCCCAGAAGATCAACAAGAAACCCAGCCAGGACCAAGTTCATCTACCAAGGAGTGCAGCGGAATTCCAGAAGAGGAGAAAGCAAAGCACGGAACTCATGGCTTTCTCCCCATGATTCATTAGCCTTGCAGTTAATTTATTTTTTTTTTCAATTTTTTTTTCTCTTCTTCTGCCAAATTTTTTTAACTTTTACCCTTTTCTTTTTTTAATGTTTTTTAACTAGTTTATCTAATATATATATATATTTCTTTTTTATATTTTTTCTTTATTTGTTTTCTTTTTTTAATTGTTTCTTCTTCTTTTTTTTTTTCTTTCTGAACCTCTTTTTATCCCCTTTCTCCCCCCTCACGATTTGGGATCTCTTCTGATTTGGTTAAAGCATATTTTCCTGGGGTTGTTGCCACCCTTTTAGTACTTTACTTGCTCCTTCATATACTCTCATCTGGACAAAATGACAAGGCGGAAAAATTCACCACAAAAAAAAGAACAAGAGGTTGTACCAAAGGCTAGGGACCTAATCAATACAGACATTGGTAATATGTAAGATCTAGAGTTCAGAATGACGATTCTCAAGGTTCTAGCCGGGCTCAAAAAAGGCATGGAAGATATTAGAGAAACCCTCTCGGGAGATATAAAAGCCCTTTCTGGAGAAATAAAAGAACTAAAATCTAACCAAGTTGAAATCAAAAAAGCTATTAATGAGGTGCAATCAAAAATGGAGGCTCTCGCTGCTAGGATAAATGAGGCAGAAAAAAGAATTAGCGATATAGAAGACCAAATGACAGAGAATAAAGAAGCTGAGCAAAAGAGGGACAAACAGCTACTGGACGACAAGGGCAGAATTTGAGAGATAAGTGACACCATAAGACGAAACAACATTAGAATAATTGGGATTCCAGAAGAAGAAGAAAGAGAGAGGGGAGCAGAAGGTATATTGGAGAGAATTATTGGAGAGAATTTCCCCAATATGGCAAAGGGGACAAGCATCAAAATCCAGGAGGTTCAGAGAATCCCCCTCAAAATCAGTAAGAATAGTCTTAGTGACAAAGAGAAAATCCTGAAAGCAGCCCGGGAAAAGAAGTCTGTAACATACAATGGTAAAAATATTAGATTGGCAGCAGACTTATCCACAGAGACCTGGCAGGCCAGAAAGAGCTGGCATGATATATTCAGAGTACTAAACGAGAAAAACATGCAGCCAAGAATACTATATCCAGCTAAGCTATCATTGAAAATAGAAGGAGAGATTAAAAGCTTCCAGGACAAACAAAAACTGAAAGAATTTGCAAACACCAAACCAGCTCTACAGGAAATATTGAAAGGGGTCCTCTAAGCAAAGAGAGACCCTAAAAGTAGTAGACCAGAAAGGAACAGAGACAAGATACAATAACAGTCACCTTACAGGCAATACAATGGCACTAAATTCATATCTCTCAATAGTTACCCTGAATGTTAATGGGCTAAATGCCCCAATCAAAAGACACAGGGTATCAGAATGGATAAAAAAACAAAACCCATCTATGTGTTGCCTACAAGAAACCCATTTTAAACCCGAAGACACCTCCAGATTTAAAGTGAGGGGGTGGAAAAGAATTTACCATGCTCATGGACATCAGAAGAAAGCAGGAGTGGCAATCCTTATATCAGATCAATTAGATTTTAAGCCAAAGACTATAATAAGAGATGAGGAAGGACACTATATCATACTCAAAGGATCTGTCCAACAAGAAGATCTAACAATTGTAAATATCTATGCCCCTAACGTGGGAGCAGCCAACTATATAAACCAATTAATAACAAAATCAAAGAAACACATCGACAATAATACAATAATAGTAGGGGACTTTAACACTCCCCTCACTGAAATGGACAGATCATCCAAGCAAAAGATCAACAAGGAAATAAAGGCCTTAAATGACACACTGGACCAGATGGACATCACAGATATATTCAGAACATTTCATCCCAAAGCAACAGAATACACATTCTTCTCTAGTGCACATGGAACATTCTCCAGAATAGATCACATCCTCGGTCCTAAATCAGGTCTCAACTGGTATCAAAAGATTGGGATCATTCCCTGCATATTTTCAGACCACAATGCTCCGAAGCTAGAACTCAATCACAAGAGGAAATTTGGAAAGAACCCAAATACATGGAGACTAAACAGCATCCTTCTAAAGAATGAATGGGTCAGCCAGGAAATTAAAGAAGATGTGAAAAAATTCATGGCAACAAATGATAATGAAAACACAACAGTTCAAAACCTGTGGGACACAACAAAGGCAGTCCTGAGAGGAAAATATATAGCAGTACAAGCCTTTCTCAAGAAACAAGAAAGGTCTCAGGTACACAACCTAACCCTACACCTAAAGGCACTGGAGAAAGAACAAGAAAGAATCCCTAAACCCAGCAGGAGAAGAGAAATCATAAAGATCAGAGCAGAAATCAATGAAATAGAAACCAAAAAAACAACAAATCAACGAAACTAGGAGCTGTTCTTTGAAAGAATTAATAAGATTGATAAACCCCTGGCCAGACTTATCAAAAAGAAAAGAGAAAGGACCCAAATAAATAAAATCATGAATGAAAGAGGAGAGATCCCAACTAACACCAAAGAAATACAGACAATTATAATAACATACTATGAGCAACTCTACGCCAACAAATTTGACAATCTGGAAGCAATGGATGCATTCCTAGAGACATATAAACTACCACAACTGAACCAGGAAGAAATAGAAAGCCTGAACAGACCCATAACCAGTAAGGAGATTGAAACAGTCATCAAAAATCTCCAAACAAAAGCCCAGGGCCAGATGGCTTCCCGGGGGGGAATTCTACCAAACATTTAAAGAAGAACTAATTCCTATTCTCCTGAAACTGTTCCAAAAAATAGAAGTGGAAGGAAAACTTCCAAACTCATTTTATGAGGCCAGCATCACCTTGATCCCAAAACCAGACAAGGATCCCATCAAAAAAGAGAACTACAGACCAATATCCTTGATGAACAGAGATGCAAAAATTCTCACCAAAATACTAGCCAATAGGATTCAACAGTACATTAAAAGGATTATTCACCACGACCAAGTGGGATTTATTCCAGGGCTGCAAGGTTGGTTCAACATCCGCAAATCAATCAATGTGATACCACACATTAATAAAAGAAAGAACAAGAACCATATGATACTCTCCATAGATGCTGAAAAAGCATTTGACAAAGTTTAGCATCCCTTCCTGATCAAAACTCTTCAAAGTGTAGGGATAAAGGGCACATACCTCAATATTATCAAAGCCATCTATGAAAAACCCACCGCAAAAATCATTCTCAATGGAGAAAAACTGAAAACTTTTCCGCTAAGGTCAAGAACACGGCAGGAATGTCCATTATCACCACTGCTATTCAACATAGTACTAGAAGTCCTAGCCTCAGCAATCAGACAACAAAAGGAAATTAAAGGCATCCAAATCGGCAAAGAAGAAGTCAAACTATCACTCTTCGCAGATGATATGATACTATATGTGGAAAACCCAAAAGACTCCACTCCAAAACTGCTAGAACTTGTACAGGAATTCAGTAAAGTGTCAGGATATAAAATCAATGCACAGAAATCAGATGCATTTCTCTACACCGACAACAAGACAGAAGAAAGAGAAATTAAGGAGTCCATCCCATTTACAATTGCACCCAAAACTATAAGATACCTAGGAATAAACCTAACCAAAGAGACTAAGAATCTATACACAGAAAACTATAAAGTACTCATGAAAGAAATTGAGGAAGACACAAAGAAATGGAAAAATGTTCCATGCTCCTGGATTGGAAGAATAAATATTGTGAAAATGTCTATGCTACCTAAAGCAATCTACACATTTAATGCAATTCCTATCAAAGTACCATCCATTTTTTTCCAAGAAATGGAACAAATAATCCTAAAATTTATATGGATCCAGAAAAGACCTCGAATAACCAAAGGAATATTGAAAAAGAAAGCCAAAGTTGGTGGCATCACAATTCCGGACTTCAAGCTCTACTACAAAGCTGTCATCATCAAGACAGCATGGTACTGGCACAAAAACAGACACATAGATCAATGGAACAGAATAGAGAGCCCAGAAATAGACCCTCAACTCTATGGTCAACTAATCTTCGACAAAGCAGGAAAGAATGTCCAATGGAAAAAAGACAGCCTCTTCAATAAATGGTGTTGGGAAAATTGGACAGCCACATGCAGAAAAATGAAATTGGATCATTTCCTTACACCACACACGAAAATAGACTCAAAATGGATGAAGAATCTCAATGTGAGAAAAGAATCCATCCAAATCCTTGAGGAGAACACAGGCAGCAACCTCTTCGACCTCAGCCGCAGCAATATCTTCCTAGGAACATCGCCAAAGGCAAGGGAAGCAAGGGCAAAAATGAACTATTGGGATTTTATCAAGATCAAAAGCTTCTGCACAGCAAAGGAAATAGTTAACAAAACCAAAAGACAACTAACAGGATGGGAGAAGATATTTGCAAACGACATATCAGATAAAGGGCTAGTGTCCAAAATCTATAAAGAACTTAGCAAACTCAACACCCAAAGAACAAATAATCCAATCAAGAAATGGGCAGAAGACATGAACACACATTTCTGCACAGAAGACATCCAGATGGCCAACAGACACATGAAAAAGTGCTCCATATCACTCGGCACCAGGGAAATACAAATCAAAACCACAATGAGATATCACCTCACACCAGTCAGAATGGCTAAAATTAACAAGTCAGGAAATGACAGATGCTGGCGAGGATGCGGAGAAAGGGGAACCCTCCTACACTGTTGGTGGGAATGCAAGCTGGTGCAACCACTCTGGAAAACAGCATGGAGGTTCCTCAAAATATTGAAAATAGAACTACCCTATGACCCAGCAATCGCACTACTGGGTATTTACCCTAAAGATACAAACGTAGTGATCCGAAGAGGCACGTGCACCCGAATGTTTATAGCAGCAGTGTCTACAATAGCCAAACTATGGAAAGAACCTAGATGTCCATCAACAGATGAATGGATAAAGAAGATGTGGTATATATACACAATGGAATACTATGCAGCCATCAAAAGAAATGAAATCTTGCCATTTGCGACGACGTGGATGGAACTAGAGGGTATCATGCTTAGCGAAATAAGTCAATTGGAGAAAGACAACTATCATATGATCTCCCTGATATGAGGGAGAGGAGAGGCAACATGGGGGGTTAAGGGGGTAGGAGAAGAGTAAATGAAACAAGATGGGATTGGGAGGGAAGACAAACCATAAGTGACTCTTAATCTCACAAAACAAACTGAGGGTTGATGGGGGGAGAGGGGTTAGGAGAGGGGGGTGGGGTTATGGACATTGGGGTTGGGTATGTGCTATGGTGAGTGCTGTGAAATGTGTAAACCTGGCGATTCACAGACCTGTACCCCTGGGGATAAAAATATATTATATGTTTATAAAAAATAAAATTAAAAAAAAAAAAAAAGAACTATGTAGTGTTTCCAAAGAAACTGGATCCCCAGTCTAAAGAACCTCAGTGATGTCAGTTCCACACAAACTCCTTTCCAAATGGAGACTGTAAAAAAAGGACTGAAAATGTCTGCAGACCCATGGAAGACGCCCAGGCAGCAGCGAGTAGCAGTTCTGGGTCCCACTTACTGGGATCCTGGAGGAGCTGGGCTGCGATGGAGACCCGGCGCCGCTCGCCATTGGAAATCCCCCCAAGGTTGCAGCTGCCAATCAGTCGATCTGCCACATGGCTCAGACTCAGCTCCACCATAACTGCGTCCACCTACAGGAGACACAAGTCCAGGAAGGCTGGTCATTGCTGGGCTACTGCTCCAATTCATGGAGTTCTGATGGCATGGGAGAGGCAACATTCTTCCCTTGAGTGCTCGGGCCACTTTCAGACTCACCACACCCTAGGGAAAACATGCCTACTATGATAAAATCCAATTTGGTCTAAGTCATAATATAGTACATGTGTCAGGTTAAAATAAATTAATATAACTGTTTTTCAAAAGTCTCTAGAGGGGCACCTGGGTGGCTCAGTGGGTTAAAGCCTCTGCCTTCAGCTCAGGTCATGATCTCAGGGTCCTGGGATCGAGCCCCGCATCGGGCTCTCTGCTCAGCAGGGAGCCTGCTTCCCCCTCTCTCTCTGTCTACTTGTGATCTCTGTCTGTCAAATAAATAAATAAAATCTTTAAAAAAAAAAAAGTCTCTAGAGCAGCAAAAACTATATTTGTTTCAGGGAAATTCACCAGGAAACAAGGAGAGGTCACTGGACTCATATTTTCAGATGCTGCATTAAGTCCTGCATACAGAAAAATCCCCTAAAGGTATAGGTACAATACAGTTTTTTTTAATGTTTGGTTTTTGAAATTTTATTGTGTTTTTTTTTAAGATTTTATTTATTTGACAGAGATCACAAGTAGGCAGAGGCAGGCAGAGAGAGAAAAGGGGAAGCAGGCTCCCCGCTGAGTAGAGAGCCTGATGTGGGGCTCCATCCCAGGACCCCAGGATCATGACCTGAGCCGAAGGCAGAGGCTTTAACCTCTGAGCCACCCAGGCACCCCTGAAATTTTATTGTGTTTTATATGTGTTAAAAAAAAAAAAAAGTCCTGATTTGGTTTGAACGAAACTTGGCTACCTTATGTAACCCAAATAAGTCCTGGAGTCCTGTGTGGTCCAATCTCGGTGTGATTTTACATCAAATATAATCAAGTTACCAAAAGTAATTAAAAATAATGCCAATATTTATTTGACTCTCTTTAAAAACTTCCCAGGGGAGCCAGTTTATAACCTGCATCCACACTTAATATGCTGTCCCCCAGTTCTCCTCACTCTATTTATCTTGGACTCTGCCACACCCTGAAACCATCTCCTTAGTCTTCCTCAACTCCCCCACAATAATAACAACTAGAAAAATTCTTGACTGACTTTCTAATCAAGGAAGTTGGGCTTTCCCTTCCCCTCCTTCTTTACTTCCTCAGCTTAGCCCATCTCCAGAGACCCTTTCAAAAATCTCTACTTCTGGCCCTGCCTTGCTGATTACCCCTATCTGCATAGGGCCCTGGGGAAAGCAGCTAGAAACAGACTGAAAATACTTATATATATGGTAATGAGTTTGATTCCCATATACCTCTAGTGAGATTGTGTTACTTTTATAATGAAAAAAGAAACAAAACACTGCATTAAAAAATAACAACAAATAGGCTGTAGTAAAAGAGGGGATGATTTGTGGGACAAAGTTCCAGTGGAGCCAGGGGGTGGGACCAGCAGCATGGGGGAAAGGTTTGACCAAAAGAAGGAACACATCTGAAATAAGCCTAAAGGAATAATGAGGTTAAAATGCATAAATAAACCAGTGTGATTTATTCTGGAAAAAAGAAGGTCCTCCTTTTGCCATCAGAATTGAAGGATTCTGGAATTGAGTTTGCGTGGCCGAGCCAGGTTGAGGTGCTCACCAGCCAGGGCAGATTCCCAAGCATCCCTTTCATCTGCTCTGCAACTCCAAGAAAAGAGTAAAGCTTGCCCCTCCCGGCTCGGAAGGGATGGACATGTATTTAACCTGTTTCACAGGACCCAAACAAAGCCTTTCCCATGTTTAGAAAACGTTGGGAAACTACTGGGGATGGAAATGCACAGTGTCTTAGAAGGAACCCTTGGTATCATTGGGATGCATTGGGATCATCAACCTCTACGCTGTATGTTCTCAGATAAAACTGGCTCATTCCTCACATCAATTCCAAGAGAGACACATTATCTATTTATTATAGAGGAGAAGACAGATCCTCAGAGAGGTGCCTAACTTGCCCAAGGTCAAACTATTAGCAAGTGGCAGAGCTGGGGCTGAGACACCTGTCTGTGTTCCTCAAGTGGTCTACGAAGCTCAAGGATTAGCCAACAGTCCAGCAGACACAGCCTGCTCATGTCAAGCACAGCTTTATGTTCAGGTTCCTCAGAGGAGAGATCTGCTGTGCTCTGTCCTGTATTATCACCACTACTTCCTTCTCACTAAATTACTTTATCAGGATTTTAATACCCTACAGACTAGATTTGCTCAGAAAGTACTCTCCAGCAGAGAGAACTTTCCCAGGACTTTTAGGGACTGCCAGTGCCAGAGGAACATTTACCGGAGGGAATTTTTTTTTTTTTAAAGATTTGAGAGAAAGAGCACAAGCAAGGGAGCGGCAGAAGGAAAGGGAGAAGCAGGGTCCCTGCTGAGCAGGGAGCTCGATGTGGGGCTGGATCCCAGGACCCTGAAATCACAACCTGAGCTGAAGGCAGATGCTTAACTGACTGAGCCACCCAGGCACCCTCAGGGGGAAAATTTTTTTGCCATCAATCGATTTCAAGGCATCTATGAATTTTCTGAATATTTATGTGAGCATGAGCATTTTCTGGAGAAGAGCTCAGTGGCATTCTTAGATTCATTCTCTCTGTGGGATATGTGATATAAGTGGATTACCAACTCAGAAGAATCTGTTTATGACGGCATTTCTGCCACCCAAATACAAATAGGATCTTCTCCTGCCCCTTTCAGAGATAGAAATACTAAAGCAAGCAGAGAGAAAGTCTGCAGATGGACTCCTCTGTCACTCACAGTCAGGACTACTGTGTGGGCTGAAGTCAACCTCCATCTTCTCTCATCACAATGGGGTTCAGGAGGTTCCGGAGCTCAGGGAGACATGATGGGAGCTAGAGGGCCTGGGTTCGCATTCCAGCTCTGCCCTTCCCAACTGTCTGATCTTAATCTCGTGTTTCAGGAGATATGCCTCCCACATAGGGTTGATGCCAGGATACAGTGAAATACTGTGTGTGAGCAAAGCCTGACTGATGCCAGCCAACTAGGAGAGTTCAGAGTACACACACACCTTGTTGCATTGCATTTTACTTTACTGCATTCACAGATAACGCATTCTCTACAAACTGATAGTTTGTGCCAACCCTGTACTAAACAAGTCTACTCACACCATTTTTTCAATAGCATTTGCTCACTTCATGTCTGTGTCAGTAAAGTATTTTTAAATTAAGGTAAGTATATTGGGTTTTGGGGCACCTGGGTGGCTCAGTGGGTTAAGCATCTGCCTTCGGCTCAGGTCATGATCTCAGGGTCCTGGGATCAAGCCCCGCATGGGGCTCTCTGCTCAGCGGGGAGCCTGCTTCTCCCTCTCTCTCTGCCTGCTGCTCTGCCTATCTGTGATCTCTGCCAAATAAATAAATAAAAATCTTTAAAGAAAAAAATTTTTTAAAGTATATTGGGTTTCTTTTAGACATAATGCTACACCTCACAGACTGGAGTATTAGTGTAAATGTAACTTATACACACTGGGAAACCAAAAAACTCATTGGACTCTATTTTTTTTTTTTTAAAGATTTTATTTATTTATTTGAGAGCGAGACAGTGAGAGAGAGCATGAGCGAGGAGAAGGTCAGAGGGAGAAGCAGACTCCCCATGGAGCTGGGAGCCCGATGTGGGACTCGATCCCGGGATTCCGGGATCATGACCTGAGCTGAAGGCAGTCGTCCAACCAACTGAGCCACCCAGGCATCCCATTGGACTCTATTTTGATATTTGCTTTGTTGCAGTGGTCTGGAACCAAACCTGTAGTATCTCTGAGGTACGCCTGTATAACCCAGTTGAACGGTAAGAGCCTTGCAATGCCTTCTGAGCACTCTACAGTAACTTCCAGGAAGGAACGAGAGCTAGGCATCCCTGTGAGGCTGATGGTCCTTCTTGAGGGCCACACTCCTTGCTAAGACTCCTCTGGAATAAAAGCTATCCTTCAACACTGTCTAGGACTCTCAAACAGAAAAATGCCCTTTACTCACCGGGGCATTATATCAAACAAATCTTCTGGTACTTGGGACACAGCTTAGACCTAATTTCACTCTCCAAGCCCTGTCTGAAAGTCCAGTGCCAAGGACAGATTGAGCAAGTCCCTAGTGACAGACACTGCAATGCCTGATAAAAATGGTGTACCCGCAGCTGATATGGAGGACTTCCTTGGAGCCTCAGTGGCATTAAAGAAGGCCAGCCCTGGAGCCTGAACCGCAGATATAATTTGTGCCCACGTGGAGCCTCACTGTGGCTTCGCTGAAGCCTCTGAGGCTGATGTTGCTGGTCTCCTCTGGTGAGTCTGAGGGTTCCCCAGGGAACTGTACCTGCTTTGGAAGTGGCACATCTCTGTATCCTTAGTTCCCTGTTTCCAGTCCAGACAGAAATGAGGCAACAATTCCAGGTAAGGCCCCACAGGCTTACCTATGACTACTTCCAAATTAGATACATTTAAAGCAATAGATTGAAACATCAGAAGAGGAGACAAGTCAATAGTTCCTTCCTTTGTTAACTTAATCTAGTTTGGATGAGACACATTCAAAAGGCCTCAAAGAAAGTTGAGAAAAATCTCAATAGGGCAAAGTACAGTGAGGAAAACAACCATTATTATTCAAAAACAGAGCTCCTAAAACAGCACCATCTAACAGAAATATAATACAAGCCACACACAGAATTTAAATATTTTAGTAGCCACATTTTAGAAAGAAACAAGTTAAATTAATTTTAATATATTTAACCTGGTGTAGCCAAAATATACCATTTCAAACTTGTTAACCAGTATTTTAAAAATTAATAATATATTTCACATTCTCTTTTTTCAGACTAAGTTTCTAAAATTCTGTGTGTACTTCCCATTCATAGCACATCTCGGTCAGGCCCGACCACGTGTCAAGTGCTCAAAGCCACAGGTGACCAGTGGCTGCCATACTAGACAACACAGGTCTAGACTAAAGGGATGAAGACTGAAGGGGAGAAATGGGCAAGTAGACGGAAGCAGGAGTGTGAAGCCCCCACAGGCTGATACCCTAAGAGGGCCACAGGAGGCCCAGGGCTACCCACCTTCCTCTGGATAAACCCCGGGGAGCCGTGGTGCACAGCCAGCAGCGCGGCGTAGCGCAGAGTCTCCCGCACGGTCAGGTTGCTCAGCAGTGTGTCACTCTGCGAGAGAGGGAGGCAGGAGGCATCAGTGTGGCCGAGACCAGGCTGAGACCGGGCTGCGGGTGGCTGTGGCGGGGTCCCCGGAAAGCACCCACCTGCTGGACATAGGAGAAGCAGTCCTGGAACTGCTCCCTGCGCAGTGGCTGGCCGTTAACAAACACCTCCCCGAGGAAGGTCCCTGTTCCCCGCAGCCTCCCAGACATGGCATCCAGCAGCGTGGTTTTCCCTGAGCCTGTGAGACAAGAAAATAAGGCCAGAGAGGACTCCCTCCATGAGGCATTGCTGGGCTGTCCCCAAACTCTCAGTTGGTCTAGCACCAGCTTGCTCTCTCCTAACCCCACCCCCAGGTCAAACTCTCATGGTACCAAAGAGCCTTTCCAGCTTGTCTCCTGAGTCAGAGAGGGACAAGCCATTGCTTTCATCCCAGTCAGGACTGGAGGAACTTTGCCTATTTATGGGTTTTTACAGCTGTTTTGAGTTGAAAAAGAAAATATAGGATCAGAATAAAAAGAAAACCTAGGCAGTTTCTTTCCCCTAGTTTGGTTTTTCTTGGGTTAGAAATTAGGTGATACCATTAGGACAAGGCACCAGCCAGTCCCTTCTGTTCACAGTGGACACAAACCTACATGAGCCCAGAGAGTCAATGGAGACAGGAACCAGCACTGGCAGGCTACTAAAAAGTTAAATTAACAGAGGAAATAGGCAGAAGGTTCTGAACTGTCTGAAAAGATAGCAAGAGAATTCTACCAAGGATATGATGACTTGTGCAAAACGGAGAGAAGATCTTTTGTTCAAATATTATAAAGAAACTGCCTCTTGCCATGAGGGATACAAAGATGAAGCCAAGCTCCTACGCAGTGGTTTTCTTATCTAACCCATGGCTGACCAAGCTCAGGGTTAGCTCCAGCATCTTCAACAGGGTGGGAAGAGAGGAGAGGGACTGTAAAGAAATGAAATGTGGTATCACTCGAGCTGTCTTTCAAAACATGTTCTGAAACTTCCCAGTCATGATCCTAAATAGAATCTTCCTTGCTTTCCCTTTCTGGGATCCAATCTCCACTCTGACAAAAGGTTCAAATGTCCTGGAGCCTGGATCCCCTCACAACATCAAAACTAACCTCACTGAGGTCATCAAGGTTGCTTCCTTGTCGCCACATCTGGTGGGCACCTTCCTGTGTGCTGACCTCTCAGCAGCATTTATATCGTTGCTTGCCTTTCTCTGTAAAACTCTGTCCTCTGGCTTTGATGCTACTTCATCCTCTTGGTTTTATCCCTCTCGTCTGGCTGCTTCTTCCCAGCATCCTCTGGGTGACACTCAGGGTTCTTTTTTGGGCCTTCTGGTCTTCTCATGTGACACATTCTCACTGAGCAACAGAGAGCCCCAACTTGCTAGCCAGCATGCAAGGGAGGCACCTTGGAGGTAGATTCTCCAGCCCTGCTCAAGCCTTCAGATGACTACAGCCCAGCAGACTTCTCACTACCACCTCAAGAGATACCCCAGACAGAACTATCCAACAATGTCACTTCCAAATTTCTGACTCATAGAAATCCTGAGAGATAATAATGATTTTTATTGTTTTAAGCCACTTAGTTCTGGGATACTTTTGACAGACATGGATGGCTGGGGGCGCCTGGGTGGGTCAGTCAGTCAAGTGTCTGACTCTTGATTTTTGGCTCAGGTTGTGATCTCAGGGTTGTGACATCAAGCTGTGTGTTGGGCTTGTGCTCCACACACAATCTTCTTGTCTCTCTCCCTCTGATCCTCTCCCCACTGTGCATACTCTCTCGCTCTCTACAATAAATAAAACCTTAAAAATAAAAGGGTCTATTTTTGTAAGATATTTCAACTATTTATTAACTCGTTAATGAAAGGACCAGCAGAGTGAAAAAGCTCATTCAAAAAAAGAATACAAGGAGAAAAAGGATATAAGAAACTAACATGTATAATCGATGGAAAATAAAACGTCAAAAATATGATAGAAAGTTAGACATGCAAATAGTTAACACCCTAGAGTATCACATGAAAAGGTACAGGTAATGAAAGAAAAATAGACAAATTGGGCTTCATGGAAGTTTTAAAATTTTGTGCCTCAAAAGACACTATCCCCAAGGATGCTTGGCTGGCTTGGTTAGAGGAGTGTGTGACTCTTGATCTTGGGGTCATGAATTTGAGCCCCATACTGGGTGTAGAGATTACTTAAATAAATAAACTTATAAAAAGAAAAGGGACACTGACCCCATTATAAAAAGACAACACACAGGATGCTGGTGGAAATACTTGCAAATCACATATCTGGTATTAATTAATATCAGATTAATATCTGAATGTATAAAGAGCTTCTAAAACTCAGCAACAACCAAAAAAACCCCAATCAACCCAATTCAAGATTGGGTGAAGAACTTAAACAGACATTTCTCCAAAGAAGATATATGAATAGCCAATAAGCACATAAATCACTCACTAAGCTTTAGGGAACTGCAAATTAAAACTGAAATGAGGGCACCTGGGTGGCTCAGTCTGTTAAGTGTCTGCATTCAGCTCAGTTCATGATTCCAGGATGCTGGGATGGAGCCCTGTATTGGACTCCCAGCTCAGTGGGGAGTCTGCCCTCTGCTTGCCCCACTCATGCATGCGCATTCTCCCTCAAAAATAAATAAAATCTAAAGAAGACAAAACTGCATGAGATACTACCTTGCACCCTTTAGGATGACTACTATCAAAAAATTGGAAAATAACAAGTGTTGGCAAGGATGCAGAGAAATTGGAATTCTTATGCACTGTTGATGGGAATACAACATGGTATAGCCACTGTGAAAAACAGTATAGAGTTTCCTCAAAAATTTAAAAACAGAATTACCGGGCGCCTGGGTGGCTCAGTGGGTTAAGCCTCTGCTAACAACTCAGGTCATGATCTTAGGGTACTGAGATCGAGTCCCACATCGGGCTCTCTGCTCAGCAGGGAGCCTGCTTCCTCCTCTCTCTCTCTCTCTCTGCCTGCCTCTCTGCCTACTTGTGATCTCTCTCTGTCAAATAAATAAATAAAATCTTTAAAAAAAACAGAATTACCATATGACCCAGCAATTCCACTTCTTGGTATATCCACTAAAGAACTGAAAACAAGCTTTCAAACAGGTATGTGTCCACCCATCTTCATTTCATTATTCACAATAGGTAAAATGTGGAAGCAACTTAGGTGTCCATTAACGGAGAACAGATAAGCAAATATGGTACATATATCAATGGAATATCTATTCATTCTGCTTTAAAAGGGAAGGAAATTCTGACATAGACCACAACATGGATGAACCCTGAAGTCATTATGGTAAGTGAAATAAGCCAGGCACAAAAAGACATACAATATGATTCCACTTATATGAGACAGTAGTCAAAATCATAGAGACAGAAAGTATAATGGTGAGGAAAGGGGACTTACTGCTTAATGAGTGTAGAGTTTCAATTTTACAAGATGAAGAGCTAAGGGGATAGATGGTGGAGAGGGTTGCACAACAACGTGAATGTATTTAACACCACGGACCTGTACACTTAAAAATAGTTAAGATGGTAAGTTTGATGTGTATTCTACCACAATAAAAAAAGAAAAAAGAAAACAAAAGGTTAATGCCCTGAAGGGTAATAAAACCATGACCTTTGGGGTTATCTTCCCTGAAAGAGAAATTTAGTTACAGAAATTGTAACTAAATAGTCCTCTGCAAGGGAGAAAGCAGCCCAGAGTCTAGGTCCCAACTGATAGTAAGTATTGAGTTAAATATAGTTACCCTCCCCTGGAGTGTTGGGTGACCCTAGGCAGACTTGCATTGTACCATTTTGTCAGGTACCTAAGTCTTTTACCTCACTGATAAAGATTTCAGAAATAAAATCTGAATAAAAGTCTTATGTTAGGTAGGACACCAATGAAATCATCATTTTGTGAAACACTAACAGTAATTCATAGAATTGATTTGTTCACTCAGTGATTCAACAAATATTTACCAAGTACCTTCTATGTGGCCAGCCCTGTTCTAGCTGTTGAGACTACAGCAGGGAAAAAAAACAAAAACAACAAAAAAAACAAAGACAAAGCTCCCCCCCACCGGGGGAACTTACAGTCTACTCTGAATCCATGGTCAGTATCCAAAATGATAGATGTTGTCATAAAGCCATGATTAGGCATCCTCAGAAACCAGCCCAAGAGCTCCCAGCTCAAGACCTCTAACCCATTGTCCTAAGATGTGCATGAAGCATAACACTGGCTTGTGGGACATCATTCTGAGAAAGTGAGTTCATTCTTTGTTGGGTGCAATAATACCATCCTAATCCTACAGAAGGCGACAAATCACAGGAATAACTCAGCTTTTCTCCTTCTTAAAGGAAAATTAGAATGGCCCTGGATATTATGGTACATATATACATTAGAAATGGTTTGGGGCACCTGGGTGTCTCAGTCCGTTAAATGTCCAACTTGTGGTTTTGGCTCAAATCACGATCTCAGGGTCATTGAGACTGAGGGCCATGTTGGGCTCCAAGCTCAGCAGGAAGTCTGCTTGAGATTCTCTCCCTCTGCCCTTCTCCCACCCCCAATAAAAATTGAAAAAAAAAAAAAAAGAAAAACTAGAAATAGGAACAGACAGGAAATCTCAGCCAAGTATAACAGTTTTAGTCTAAGAATTCCTTCTCATTTAATCTTAATGTTACTACTGTCACCCAGTTTTCACCTGCTATAGCAGGGGAAAGGCTATGGATTTAACTCTCCAGGTCAAACGAGGCTGTCCATGCTTGACTTTTGTCACAGACTTGTGTTACCCACGGATAGTCAAGAGAATAATGCAAGTGGGTAATGCCAGTAAATGTCAACAATATCAGTGAAAGCAAGAACTCAATCAGAAAGCACCTCTGAAGCCAATTTGTAAGAAACTTTCATCCTTAAATTGTGCAGGATAACCTACAGCAGTGGCCCCAGTGGTGTCTACACAGAGCCTCTCATCAGACTCAATGCACCCATCCTCCAGCTGCTGAGGAGTCACAGCTGTGACGCCTACGGGGCACTGCCCTCTGACACAAGGGGCTTCCTCTCTGGAGGCTAGACCCTCCCAGGACAATGACTGGCTGATGCAGGGACACAAAGACAAACTGTAATTCAGTCTCAAGTGTAGATATCCCAGGAAAGAGAAGATGGGAAATAGGCACACAGATGGCCTTGTGGAGTCTGTAATATTTAGTTCCTTAAAAACAAAAAGGATCTGAAGCAATTATGGTATAATGTTAAGATCTGACAAAGCCTTACAGGGTATTTTAACTAAGTTGAATGTATATTTTTTTTTAAAGATTTTTTATTTATTTGAGAGCAAGAGTGAGAGAGCACAAGCAGGATGAGGGGCAGAGGGAGAAGCAGGCTCTCCACTGAGCAGAGAGCCGGATTCGGGACTCCATCCCAAGACCCTGGGATCATGACCTGAGCTGGTCAGACACTTAACCAACTGAGCCACCCAGGTGCCCCTAAGTTGAATTCAAATAAAAAAATTTTTAAGAAGATTTGATAAAACCAGGTATTATTATATAAACATTCTTTATATTATTTCCTATTCTTGCTTATTGGAAATACATCGTAATTTTTTTTTAAATATGAATACGGGACTAAATGGGCATGCAACCTTGTGGCTTACTTAATTCCTTGTCCTACCTCTTGGCAGGGTAGAGATCAGGGGAATTGTGTTTACTGAGCACCCCTATGTGCCAGGCACCATGCTGATACTTTCTATACTGAAATAGGAATTAACTGACATGTTAGGCAGGACTTTATTCTTTTCCAAGGATCTCTCTAAAGGCTTCCCATTAGTTCCAGACTCCATTCAGGAAGACATGTCTTTTGGTTTCATTCTAATATCAAACTTCTAACTTTCTTGCCACAACTTAAACTTATTTCCTTAATGTTCAAAGCAAGCGAAAGCCTTTTCTGAATGCTCACTGCGGATGTAAATTTAAAGAACTCTTTCCCAAGCTTACCTGAGCTCCCTAAGATGCACAGGATCTGCCCGCTCTCGACGTACAAGGAGACATCTTTGAGGATCTGCCTGTCCCACCGCTGCCGGCAAGATGAGAAGTCCCACCAGGGCCCAGCTTGGTGGCTTTAAAGGGAAAAGAGTGTGGGGCTCCAGAAGGGACCAGACCCTTGTCCCCCCAGCACTGATCCCAACTGTCTCTGGACAGGTTCCTAAATATGGTTGGGGCTCAGTGTCCTTCTCTGCAGACACTGGCAGATAGTGACTAAGAAATATCATCTATGTAAAGCCCCTGTCCAGGAGCTGCTCTGAATGCCAGCTCTCTGGCAGTGTGGGAGATAAAATATACAGGACATGGTTTATTCCTTCAGCTGACCACGCATTCCTTCACCAGGCTTCATTATACTCTGTGCTACCCCAAGCCCTCTCCATCCCCATGGCGCAGCTGTATACAAAGAGGACACAACAGGAAGGGATTAAGGGGCACAAAGCAGAGCACAGCTGCCTCACTAGCATAGCTTCCAGGACTTCCCATGGGCAAGAGGAGGACCGTTCGCCACTGTTCCTCATTTACTACTGGCAGCCCTTTCCCTCCCTTCTCTCCACCCTGATCCCCTAAGGAGGGAGCCCAGAGCCTCCACACATGGCCCTCATTAGTGAGAAAAGCCAGCAGAGACCCACCTACCTCGGATCACCACCACAACTCAAACAAAGCCCAGCTTCAAGCTCCCAGTAGGCAAAAGAGGCATGGCCTTACCTTACATGGTAGGAGACATGGAGAATGCCCAGGCTGTGTCGAGGCTTTGAAGCAACTACGGGAACCTCCTCTGGGGAGTTCTGGGGGTCTCTGTTTACTTGGTTCCCCAAGTACCCCATAGGGGTCAAAGATGGGAATTCATTCATGGCCAAGAGACAGCAGAAACAGGTAAATTTTGGGGTGGCCTGACTCTCCCCGGAGAAGCCTCAGTAAAGGAGCCAGGAGCACACTGCCCGACCTGCTCCTCACTGTGCTCTGGAATCCCTCCCCAGACCTTCCCAACAGCGGGACTGGAGTTTGGCCACAGATGCCATTATCTGATGTACCTTTACCCAGAGTGTGTGTGCTATCTTGGCAGTGCGCAGAACGCACAGCCTGTGTTTGTAGGAGGGCCAGCCTGGGAGGAGTGCTAGGAGAGAGGCGTACTGAACCAAGGCCAGAGACTGCCCAGCTCTGAGAAAGACAATACACTGGTGCTGTCTGGTAGCCACTGAAGTGGAAAGGAAGCTGCAGCAAAGGAGCACAGACACCACGGGGCCCCATGGCTGAGAAGGCCTCAGAGAAGAGCGGACTGTGGAACAGGGCTGCTCCCCAGGATGCCTCCGTGAGTGATGGGCAGTCACCTCAGTCCTGGGGGGTGGGAGCGAATGGGACCTTTCCTTCCTCCCTCAGGAGCTTTGTTTTAACTCCACCAGGACCACAAGGAGAGGGAGAACATGGTAGCAGGACTCTAAGGGCTGAGGGGAAGGGATTTAGGGGACTGGGTGGGTAGGGGGCCTCCGAGGTCAGTTCCTGCATGAAGAAACACTCCTACAAGGAAATGATGTTTCCCATTTGTGACTTGGGCTGATGTAGATTTTTCTGAATGAGACTCCAAAGCAGAAATGTTTTCACACACACCAGGGACTCTGCAGTGTCTCCTTCATCTGTGTGTCTGTTAAGCTCAGAGTCTGATGCAGTAAACTGCTGAGATAGGATGGCAAGTGACTTTTATGGGAACATGAGAATTTATGTACAAAACATGGCTACAGCAGGCAAACATAAGACCCCAGAGAGAGCTAGAAGGGACAGAGGGCAGCCAGGGTGCCAAGAGGTTGGGGCACAAGTTCTCCACCCTTATCTTACATGAGAAATGTTTGAGAAATGGCCTTTGGCTAAAATCAGGGTGTGGGTCTGATTTGAAGCAGGATGCTAAATTGGAAGACGGAAAAAGAACAGAGCCCACCCTCTATCTCCACCTCACCCCAGACCAGCTTGCTGTCTTTGCCTGCCATGGGGAGGAGGGAAAGATGAGAAGGTCTGAGGACTCCACACCCAACAGGAAAGGCCACAGCTCACCTAGTCTGGCCCTAAGTTGCTAGAATGTGACTTCTACCCAGCACATTCCTAGTTCACTTTGCAGCCATGACAAACAGCCACTTTGATGTGCAAACACAGCCAGTCCTTGCCAAGAAATGACTCCTAGGAGCTGAGACTGCAGTGTTCATGGCCTGAATAGGATATAAAGTCAGCGGTGGCTTTGGGGACACTTTCTGCCGAAAAGGTCTGACAATTCAGCCACCACAGCATGGAATGCAAACAAATGCCCAAATCCAACATCAAGGAATGCCTAATGTTTCCAGTTTCCTTTTCTCCAATCCTCTTACTCAAGGTTCCAAGTGACAATCTACCCCCAACATTTAAGGCAGCTGGAACAACAGAATGAGGGCTACATATCTAGATGTTTTAAAATTATCAATCAAGCTAAGCACTTGAAAATAGTTTCTATCTTCTTATCTTGACATACCTTCCTCACATCCTGAAAGATCAGGTGTAAATTCAGAAATTCTAGGAAATTTTGGAGCAGCAGCTATAATGTGCGGGCATAGGGGAGCCAGCTTCCAGCCCAAGCTACAGCCTGTTCCCCCTTCTCTGCCCAACCCTAGCTCCATGCGTGACTCACACACCCCTATGTGGTCATACCATCCTGCCTACCCACATTGCATTCACACTCCACAGACAACTGGCCCTCTGGCCTGGGGTACCTGGAGTGGCAAGTGTCCTTGGCCCACAGACTCCTCAGTCCCTGGGCAGAAGCATAGCCCAAGAGGGCCCCAGTCCTCAGGGCAAAGATGTGTGAGATCTGGTCTGACCATTTTAGTAAAGGCCCAGGCTCACCCTCTCAACCAGGAATAAACCCTGCATGTTTCTACCAGGCACAGAGTCCTCAGCGCCATCACTACTCAAGGGCATGAATTCCTCAACTTAGAAAAAGGAACTTGGGCTCTGTGCTCCCAGAGTTCCTTTCTAATCTATGCTTCTGACTCGGGAATTTTATCAGAAGTTAATACAAGGAGAAATTACAATGTAGCCCAGCAGGAGCCAAGCAGGTTACCTACAAATAAACCTGCTTTTGCTTTTTTTGGGTGTCACCTGTCAGAAATTCAAGTGATGTTCTGACAGTTATACTGATTAAGATGTCAGCTGAATAGATATTTAAGTATTTGAAAAATACAGAGGATTTGTCAAAACCTCAGGAAGAGTCTAATAAATCCTTCCTGGGGCCAAGGAAATATTTCAAAATGGAACAGAGGCTGCCCCCAACCCAGCAACGAATTCTTCCTCTGAAATTTTCCCTACCTGTGCAGCTCCAGGAAGGTAGTCTCTAGATGGCTGGTGCAGAGCTGAACCTGCCTGGAATGCAGCACCTTTCTCAGCTGCCCTCAATCTCCCCCAAGAGAGATCTCCTTCTCCATCTTTGAGGTCACAGACCCTGGGCCTTCCTCCATCTCCACGGCCAGCTCCTGCCTTAGATGTACTGACAACTAAGAGGCAAGGTGGCAGAAGTATTCTGGACTTCTACTCGCTCTCTCACTTGGAAAACATATTTTGAAATGTTTTAGACACATCAGTATATAGAATAATGAACTCTCACGTACGCACCACTAATTACCAAGAGCTCTGAGGCTCGCTCCCTTCGCCTTTCTCTGTAACCTTCTCTCCTGCATTCTTCTCTGTTCTCCAGAGATGGCCCTTCTGCTAAATGAGGCATTCATCTTTCCCATTTTTTTCCTGTATAATTTAGGATCTTTATGGTAATGGTTCTAACATCAGACAAGATAAGTAGCTATGGTCTGTTGTTTCCATACCGCCGTGGAACTCTAGGGACTACTTACTCAGAGGCTGCTGCCATAGACTATCGCCAATACTGATTTCCCTCCTTTCCCATGGGGCTGGAACATCCTTTCAGAGGACCTATGACCTCCACTACTACAGCGAAGTCTGACAGAGACTTTTGGATGTTATTTTCACATAAGTCATAAGTCAGTTTATTTTCACACAAAGCACAGGTAGGCATTGCGTACACAGTGTAAATATACCCTGAATGGATGCTTGAGGTCAGCGTGCCTCTATACCTAGCCTGTCATGCTCCATCCTAACCACTTGTCCCATTCATTAAAACCTAAGCTTCTCTGCATGGTGACAGATGGTGACTAGATATATTATAGTGACCACTTTGCAGTGTACACAGATTTGGAATTGTTGTGTTGTATACCTGAACTACTATAATGTTATATACCAATTTTACCTCAATTAAAAAAAAAAAAAAAAACTAAGCTTCTCAGAAACCATCTTTGTCACATCCAAACCCAAGACTGAAAAGAGTGATATAGGCTCCCAGTAAGTACTGGACGCTTGCTTGATTGAAGAACACATCAGTGTGAGAAGAGCAGCTTTCGGGGAAAAGATCAGAGTCAACTGGAACTTGTTAATAAATACACTTTTTCCTACACTAAAAAAATGAAAGAAAAATGTTATGCATTTAAAAATAGAAAAATAGGGGTGCCTGGGTGGCTCAGTGGGTTAAAGCCTCTGCCTTCGGCTCAGGTCATGGTCCCAGGGTCTTGGGATCGAGCCCCGCATCGGGCTCTCTGCTCAGCGGGGAGCCTGCTTCCCTCTTTCTCTCTCTGCCTGCCTCTCTGCCTTCTTGCGATCTCTGTCAAATAAATAAATAAAATCTTTTAAAATAAAAAAAAATAAAAATAGAAAAATAGAAACCTTTCAGGACGCCTGGGTGGTTCAATTGGCTCGGGTCGTATTCCCAGGGTCATGGGATCGAGTCCCGCATCAGGCTCCTTGCTCCGAGGGAAGCCTGCTTCTCCCTCTGCCTACCACTCTGCCTGCCTGTGCTCTCTTTCTCTCTCACTCTAACAAATAAATAAATAAAATCTTAAAAAAAAATAGAAACTTTTCTAGGCAGGTTGTTCTTTTGGGGGACCTCAATGATTTAAATGATTGAACTGATAAAATAGAAGGAATTCAGATCTAATGATGGCTAATACCAAAGATATCAGCTGATACCATGAAACACTGATTTAACTGATTTACAAATATAGGATCACTCCAACAACAGCAAGATGATGATGATGACAATGATAGGGATTTCTTCTGAAACCTCCCAACAGCATTCTGAATGGCTGTGTTGTGCTAAACTCATCATTAGAATAAAATGCAACTTTTCCAAGGATAGTGTCTTCCAAATATTGAGCATTAGCTTTTTGATATCTATTTCCTCTCACATGTCAGGTACATAGGAGTCTGTTTGGCATTTGGAGATAAGAAGCCAGATGCAGGAAAGAGAAATTTAAGGCCAACCCCCAGCTCAGGTACCCCCAAAGCACAGAAGCTCACAAAGATCTCTCCAGTCCAGAGTCCGGGTCTTGTCCACCATAGGCTGCCTGGGTCCAGGCTCCACCAATCTTGAGACTGAGTTTTCTAGAGCCAGGAGCTGTGCTGGAGAGAAGTCCCAAAGCTCCCTCTGCAGGGAAGGACAAATTCGCCCTCACGGATGCTTCTATTTTCTCATAGCCCTTGGGATCCACCTGCCCAAATGCATGTTTTCCCAATTCTCAATCTCAACCACACTAGTTGCTGCTCTCACCTCCTGGGTCTCCTCCCTGTTTTCTCTTAAGTGCTCAGCAGCTTTTGAAGAAACCCCTCACCTGTCATGTCTTCCAGCAGGGCCTCCAGGACAGCTTGTTCTCCTCCGAAAGTGACAACAGCCTATACTTCACCTACAGTGGCCAGTCCAACACCTTGGAGGTCCAAGATCTCAGCTACCAGGTAGAAGCACACCTGAGGAGAAGTGGGAGGAGTGGGCAGGGAAGGCCAAATGATCCTCCAAGTGAGAACTGAAGGGTGAGCCCATGCTGGCCATGTTAATGCCTCATATGTTGAGTGAATGTACAG